ACCAGTTCACCATGCCAAACTTTCTACCCTTCACTTTACCAGTTCTACGTACCTAGACATCTGCTGCCAGAACAGCCAGGTGGGTGTGAAGTTGCCCTGGTTATGTGATGTCTCCGGACCGTTGATGATCTTCAGACATACCACCTTGTTGTCCGTGTTCATCTTGACCAGACTGACCGCCTCGTTGTGGGTCAGCCCAAGAAGACTTGACCCATTTATAGACAAGAGGATATCACCTTTCTGTGGGACAAATAACACAAGGCATTATAATGCAGAGTAAACAAGACCATGTTTTACACTTTTCTATCATCAACAGTAGATATTAGATTATTGTAAAAGTGTTGAAATTTCCACATTGGAAATGAATCTGTAATCTACTTATTTTATCTAAAATCTATATAGTGAAGCAATAATTATTCACCGATGGACATTTTTGAGCTACTTTACTCAATATAAAAACCAAAGTATTTCCCTATGTGGAAATTTCCACTTGTAACAGTCTTAGAAAAATCTGTTGTCGACATTGTTGCATTTGCAAGATCAGTTTTGAATCTCTTTTCCCCCCCCCCCCCACACACACGAAAATGGAAAATAGAAATTTTACATCATAAAAGAAGATTGACTCCATTTCATGATGAGAAAAAAAAAAACTGATCTGAATTTGATGATGAAATAGATGATTGGTCTGGCATCATGTAAAAGAATTCTTTTGACGCTAACATGCATAGAAATATTAAGACACCTGCATCTTACCTTAATCTGCTTGGTGCGGCCGAGGGAGCCCAGAGGGTTGATATTTGTGACATAGATAGGCGTGTCCCCACGGGGGCTGTCAAGTCCACCTGCTACACTGATTCCCAGGGTCTCAAGAGGGTCCTACAACGGTTATACTACACTATACCACAGAAGGTATCAAACTTTATATTTTTAATAGTTATAATATCTTAACATTAAACTGCATTAACAGAATATCTATAGCAGACAGACTGAATAAAACGCCAATGTCTGTCTGCAATCCTCTCAGAATTATAGGACTATAACTCAAAACAGAACGCAATTCAATGGTTATATTCAGGTTTTACTGATTCTGACACTATATTGATTTTCAAATTTCATGTTCAATCTTGACAGATAAAGTTGACTTTCAATAAATGGAACAACCAACAGCCTGTATCGGCCTGTTAAATGTTACGATTATGATATCAGAATCATCATGACATCCTGATGATCACTCAAGAGTTTACAGTCTAGCTCATATAAATCACAACAGACTTTGGTAGGTTTATAGAGTGGCAATACAGAGCAGATGTAAAATATAATTTAAATGAACAGATTGAAACAAGGGAAATTTACAATAGCCTGAAGCAGTTATACTCTTGTTACTGATTTTAAGTCCCTGTACATCTAATTTATAAGATACTTCAGCAGTGAAATTTGTTTTTATTTCTACTCTTTGTCTCACTTTTGTTGTTTCCAAAAGATCTATGAAACAGCGATCATGCATGAGAAATACTTTGATGAATTTATTGCAAGAAAACCCCATTTCACAGAGACCAAGTGAGACTAAGTGTGTCGCCAAGTAACACATCTGGTTACCTTGGTGACCGTGACGAGGCGTTCGTGACACTTTTGACATGAGGGAGTGTTGTCACGGATCATGCTGTAATTCATCGCTGTTGTAGAATTGTCGGAGGTAGATCGGATAAGGTCCGGAGTCTGGGGACGACTTCGTCGGGAAATCACAAATTGCACTTTATCAGCACTTGTCTGAAATAGAGGCAATATAATAGTACAAAGTACAAAATCACCAGATCAATTTTAACCACATAGTCATTTCTTATTAAAGACTAGATAAAATGAGAACAATCAAGACTTATTCCATAAATCTTATATTTGAAACATATACATTTTAAGAATCCTTTTCCCTCTGCATTCAAAACACTAGAGAATTGTACGTAGTATTTTGTACATATAATAAATATTCTCCCCTTAATTTCATCTTAGGATATAACCGTAGCGCAACTCAGCCAGGGAGCTTCTGTTGACCAGGTAGTTCATTTGGGTAGAGCGATATTATAATGATCTGAGGTTCAGGGTTCGAATCCTGGTCTGGCTTCATGTAATTTTTACTTTCAGAACGCTGATGTATATTCTTTTTTGTTTCTTTCTTCTTCTTATTGTTTTCGTTAAAGTTCCGCAAGGTTTGGTCATCTTTTCAGAAATGATTTCTCAAAGCTGTATTCATAAATAATGCGGGGAAAAAAGTTTCCAATACACAGTTTAAGTTTTTGCCATTGGTACAAAGATCCTTGAGATCAGATGTGTATGACTATTCAATCTGTAGGTACAACCAGAATTATTTACCTGTATAATATGAGCGGCCTGCTCTTGTGTGCCGTATGACACATCTATGCCGTTTATCTCGAGTACCCGATCATCCGGCCGGAGTCGCTCATCCATAGCAGCTAAACTTTCCGGTACCTTCAACGAAAATAAGTGTTTTTTTTTTTTACAATTCAAATTTACCCATTCACCCCTAAAGTCACATTTACA